ATGGACAAGTGATGGATGAATGGATTAAGGAATGGATGAATGAATGGATGGACAAGTGATGGATGAATGGATTAAGGAATGGATGAATGAATGGATGGACAAGTGATGGATGAATGGATGGATGAATGGATTAAGGAACGGATGAATGAATGGATGGACAAGTGATGGATGAATTGATGAATGAATGGATTAATGGAGAGATAAATGGATGGATGGATGATGGACAGAAGGACGGACAAGTGATGGATGAATGGATTAAAGGTTGAATGAATGGATGGATGATGGATGAAAGGATGAATGGATGGATGGATTAACGGATGGATGGATGGATGATGGACAGAAGGACGGATGGACGGACAAGTGATGGATGAATGGATTAAAGGTTGAATGAATGAAATGGATGGATGATGGATGAAAGGATGGATGGATTAACGGATGGATGGATGGATGGATGGTTGAGGGACAGAAGAACGGACAAGTGATGGATGAATGGATTAAAGGTTGAATGAATGAATGGATGGATGATGGATGAAAGGATGGATGGATTAATGGATGATGGATGGATGGATTAATGGATGGATGGACGGACAAGTGATGGATGGATGGATTAAAGGTTGAATGAATGGATGGATGACGGACGAAAGGACGGACGGATGAATGGATTAATGGATGAATTTTATGTTAAAATGATAATACAGGGAATAATTCTTTCCAAATATTCTGCTTGTATTTTCATTTTATCCAGACACAGAAAATACAAACATTTCAGATTGCGTACAAACACAGGGCTGCAACTAAACATTATTTTCCTAATTAATTAATCTGTCGATTATTTTTTCCACTAATAATCAGATAACAAAAGATTCATTAAAGAAGATTTTTACAGAATTTAAACATGGAGCAACTAAAACCTTTCCAGTTGAAGAGTTCTGGTTATAGAGCATAATGACGACAACTTCTTTTTTTATCTTAAATGCAAAATGTTTATATATATATATTTTTACAATGTCGGTATAATTACTGCTTTAAGTTGGTTACTCTGTCAACTAAAGGATTTTTTAGTGTGTTTAGTTAACGTTTAATAGATTACTTAACCAATTGATGATTATTTCTATAATCGAATAATCTGATTAATTGTTTCAGCCTCGTACAAACTCTGGGTTTGTTTCATCATAAATGTCACAGGTTCGAGTTAAAAGATAAATCCACACTGTAAAGCTTTGCTACCTTTTTGACAACATTCAGCTTATCTGGAGCGTGGTCAAACAGGGTGTCAAAAGCATCGCGCTCTGTGGACAATAAAGAGCATTTACCACCAAATACCAAACAATAGAAGAATGAAGGAAGGCAGAGAATTCAGGGAATATGAACACATACCATGTCTGCCAGAGAAAGCCCTGGAACAAAAAAGAACACAAAAATCAAAAGCCGGTTCTTCATATTGAGAATGTAACGGTTGATTGTTCATAATAAACAGCTGAAATAAGATGCTTCAGGTTCAACCACAGAGGAATGCAAAGAATGGGGGGGGATTATGCTAAACAAATGACAATAGAGCAATAAAGCCAGCTCTAATATAATATCATTAACAATAGACACAGATGCACCTTGGGTGTTTAAATAACCAGGGACGGTTACAGCAGCCACACGGTTACAGTACAATACGTTCACCTTTCAATACAGCAGGGTATCAAAGCAATAAATGAAGACATGTCTGAGCAGAGCATTTCTATGGGAATGAGGGGCCTCTTGTCTGTTATTATACTGTTCGCACTTTGGAGGATGCTTTTGTTGGAAAGGCTCAGGTGGTTCTGGAGGGTAGGGATCGCTGCAGCATGAGTGTCCCCGAAGGGAACGATATCGCAGCGGGCAGGCCAGCGAGAAATGGCAGCAGCACAGACAAACAAACACGCACGCACACATGTTCACGGTGTAATCTCTGATGGCAAACGCGGGCAGGTCTGGGCAGCGGTCCTGGTGGTGTGGTAATAACCCATTTCCACTGTGACCACCATTGTGTGTGTGTGGGAGTGTTTATTAGCAGTCTACCCATCCACCATGACCAAATGTGAGTGCATGTGAGTGCTGGCCTGCTGTTATCTCCCTTGTTGGTGCTGTCAGGCTGCAGGACAGCCTCACAGGGAGGGGGAGACAAAAAGTCCAAGAGAGGCTCTGCTCATCTGAAATTGTCTAATTTTTCAGCTAAAGCATCGCTTGTTTAGATAAAATGTTTGTCATTTCACCTTTGAGTGACACCTGCTCAGATGGGAGGGGGCTGCAATCAAATATGTCATCCGAGAGCAACATAAACAACATTTTAGGTTAAACTTCCTAGCAGCTGAATAGACATTTTGTTCATTTCAAAGCTGCATGCTCTATATACACTGGAAAAAAATAAAAATCTAGATAAAAGTCATTTTTTCTTAAAATGAGTGAATTTGTTCCTGAAAGAGGCATTTTGCCAATGACCAAAACAATTTACATTTAAAATAAGAAAACACAATTTCACTGCATTGTATGGTCTTATTTAAAGTGAATTTTATCTAATTATCCTATTTTAAGAGTTAAAAAAAATCATCTCATTTACCTACTCAAATTAAGGGTAAATACAATTAATTTAAGACATTTTGACTTATTTCTAGATCGTTTTTCCAGTGCACAAAGAAAAATCTGCACAGTTCCAGTGTTTTCTTCCCACTAATCAATATGCAGATATATAAAAAGCTTTAAGATACAATATAACTCTTTGGTTTGCCTGTTTTATTTTATTTTTTGTAATTTGGAGACAAACTTCAAGGTTATTTCTTTTCAGATCTGCATCAATCAGATATCTGATCACCGATTTAGTGAAGCTCTGATTAAACTACATCTATAGAAATATTCCTTATTTTCAAACAATTATTTTGTGATCAGAAATTTTTAAGTGAGGCACAAAGATGTGCTCATTTTTAACCCGTTTAAACGGGTTATCTTCTGTTAGGACGTATAAGGGATTCAACATCCAATCCAAAAAAGGTACAGATGAGATGTTTGCGCTTCGTAAGCACAGAAGTAACTGTGTAGAGCTGTCTTTTTAGCAGAAACGAGCGTCTATCGGTGGCGGAGGAGAGTGCGTTGAGGTGCAGAAGGGGTTAACACAAAGACATGCGCTCACTCTGTGTTGCCAGTGATTTCTTCTTGGATCTGCCTGGACTGAAGGATGCCTTCTCTCTTCTGAAAGACACAAAGGCAGACAGCTGAATGAGAGCAGAAAAAAAGTAAATAAATAAAAAATTAAAAATGGTGTTTCATGGTGGAAATTAAAAACCCAAAAATAACAAACCTAAAGACATTTATATATATATATAAAAGACAATGAAACAGAACAAAGTTCAGCAAACAAAGTAAATATGAGACAAATAAAAATGGTACCAACCTGGACCACCACTACTTGAATAGAAACGTGGTCTGGCAATCTGATTGGTGCTCTGAAGTGTTGTGACAGCGCCACCAACAGGTGCAGGATGGCAACTATACTCTTGGCATGAACCGCTGATGTTGAGAGGAGAACAAAAAAGGAGCAACTTGGTGAGTTTAGGTCCAGACTAATAATAAATAAATAAATTTATAATACAGAGAAGAGCAGTTTTATTTAAACTACTTTCCATGTACATTTTGAACATTTTATACCATGAGACCCCCAATATGTCACAACCATGAGTCCATGTTCCTTCTCTGGCTTTTGCATGCTCCTGTAGATTCCCTCCTATTCGCATTTGGACCTGTTTCTTTGGCTCATGTCACTCTGAAGGTGGAACCAACCGGGGCAAAAAAACTGCCTGTGATTTGCTGCTTTTTACAAAATCCCACCTCTTGAAACTGTAAGGCTACGTTCAGACCGCAAGCAGCAAGAGCAGCAAAAATGCGCGTGCTGCTTCATTTTTGATGCTTGTACAAGCTTAGTTCTGAAGCGCAGCTTCCGTAGCTGCCTGTAACAATGCTATATTTGCTGTGATCAGTGGGTAAAAAGTAGTTTTACCACCTACCACCCCAACTTCAAAATACGAACTCAATTCTCCATTTTAAAA